TAACCCTGCCTGTAACTCTTATTTTGGGACTTAAATCTTATACTGCTCTGTATTATTTCTGAATATTTGTTTCATGATATGTACATTATCTCCAAAGTAAGGTTTAAGATTTCTGAGGGTAGAAACTTGTCAAATCTCTTTTCTATCCGTGGGAATAGCACATGTAGAGTGTAAAGAGGACAGGTACCTGAGTGACTACTTGGGTTCAAATCTTGGTGCCATCATTATTAGAGGGGCCTAATGTTTTTATTAATACATATGATAATTTGAAATAAGAGTATTTACTCCACAGTACTGTGAGGATTAAATGAGTTAATATATGTAAAACACTTAGAATAGTGCATGGAACAGAGGAAGCATCCAATTATTTGTATTTTAATATAGTAAGTATTCAATCACTATTTGTCGAATGAATGAAATAGAATTTCACAGCACAAGACATATCCTAAATGCTAGGAATATAAAAGTTTCTAAAAACAGAAATTTCCTGCTTGTGTGGAGCTTACATCCTAGTTAGAGTGTAAGGGGAGACAACAAACACACACCTATATGATATTGAGTAGTGATAAAAGATAAGAGCTTTGAAGAAAAAAGTACACATTAGTATATAGCCTGTTGGAGCTGTTATTTTACATAGAGTGATCAGAGGTGGATTCTTTAGTGAAATGAATGAGGAAGTGAAATTTGAATGAAGTGAAAGACCTATCCTTAAGGATATTTGGGGGAAGAGTGACGGTAAAGAGGATAGCAAAAAGGCCAGTGTGGTTGATAGAAGACCACTGTAAGGAGTTAAGATTTTAATCTAATTGTGATGAGACGATACTGGAAGAATTTTGTGCATAAAATACTTAAGAGCGAAGGACCAGGAATGAGTTCAAGATTCTTTTTGGACATCAAGTGGAGATACTGAGGAAGCATTTGAAAATCCAAGAGTGATGCTCAGAGAAGAGGTCAGGGCTGGAGATAAAACTTACAGTCATCAACACTTATTTTGTCATTAAAGCCATGGAATCTATGAGATCACATAGAGAACAATCTTTCATAGTTCTCACTTTACAGATGAGGAAACTAAAGCTCAGAGAAATTAACTGAATTCCTCAAGGTCTCATAGCTAATAATTTATGGAAGTAAGGTTCAAATTAAGTCCTGACTTTCAGCCTAAGATCTTTCCACTAAGTCACATTGTCTCCCAAAAAGAATACTGGCAGCCCTGTGTTTCATTTCTCAGAAAGGCAGAGTGAATTACTTTTCCACTCATCTTAACTGATCTGCCATTGACTAGCACTCATAGAGGAGAATGCAAAATAGAAAAACAAAGAAAGGAAAAGATATAAATATTTTTCTTACTATGTATATCATATCTGAATTACAGATCTCATCATGTTTTCCCCCTTATCCATTCTCCTATCAAGAAATGGTCATGATGGGAAAAAGTTATTGCTAATTAGGAATAATAATCAATACAAATGGGAGTTATTCTTAATGGATTCTTTCATACCATCTCAGACCATTTCAACTTCATCCAGAGGGCTACGACTAGACAAAGAAGTAGGCAATTTTTGCCATTAAGGGATTTTACCATCTAGTAATGTTATCAGTGTTTCCCAGTTTTAATCACCAGTAAAATAAAATACCATCTTCTGTTTTCAGCAGCTTTCTTTAGCTGCAGCAGGTTAAGCAAGATGAGGATAACTAGCAGACATACCTATTCACTTACAGAGAGAAGTAATAACAATAATAAACACCGTAGTGAATGAGAGAGCTCTGATTAGAGTACCATTCTATACTGTCCCTTAAAAAAAAACCAAAAATAAAAAAAACCTCTGTTCTCTTCTTTTTGGAGATAATGGACTCAATCTATATATAAATCAGCTACTTAGAAAGTAAGAATAAGAGGCAGAGAAATGGTAAAAATAGAATGAGAAATAAGTACAATGCAAAAGCTGGTTATACTGAAATGATAACAAAAGTCATGTATGCTGCAACACAGTTTCTTTTAGAAAGTAATAAATAAGTGTTAACTTAATATTTTAATTTTAAATAAAAGAAAATAAAGCAGACTACATACACTGTCACGAAGAAGTCTGGAATGATATGGACAGAAAAACAATGTAGATGAGACTAATAAGCTTTATCACAAATAAATGAACACATACTATATACTTACCATTTTACCTCACCTCTCACATTCATACACACACACCCACATATAATATAAGATTAACATACTTTACATTTCTTGTCTCCAAATTTATATATGAAAACAGAAGAGTATGTGTGGTGATATATCATTGTATATTTCCTAATATCAGATATGAAATGGCTAAATAATTAAGTGTGGATTCCAACTATAAAGTGACCCTTATTCATAATGCTATATACAGAGTACATAGACGCTGGCAGATTGGAGTTGCAAAGAGCACACAGATCAGAGTGGGGGACACCTAGCATTACATCATTATACCTATTAATTAAAAATGCAGGCAGTCAGCATTTTACAGA